CCTGAGTCCTGCCACGTCGCAAGACCTCCTGGCACTAGGCGCAATCAGGTAACGCCTGAAGCGCACGTAAAACGGCAACTGTCTCAGGCGCAACAAATGGTCTGTTGTCTGTGGGAGCTGGCGGAGACCAGATTTTGGAAGCTTTCAGGACAATGCTCGATATCTTAGCTGCAAAGTCTGGTGGCTCAGCTTCCTGCCTATTTACGATGAATCAAACCCGCGGACAAGTCACCTGTCGTCGTCTACCGCTCTCGAACAGAAATCTTCGGAAGCCGAACTCGCGAAAGATGTAGTTCCTTTTCACCGTGAGCGGTCACGCGATGCCATTCTGGCCTAGCGAGTAACCACGTGTCGCTAACCGGCGAGGGCCTTGGCAGACCACAGCACTTTGAACACGAATCCACGTGATCTGCAGGGGACTTTGTTCGCTCCAACGACCCCTCATAACGCAGTGCTGTCCTCTCCCTCCCTTAATTACATCTCAATTTCCTGGAAAGTGATCCAAAACGAATAATGGCCCTTTCGTTGAGCGAGTTCGAAAACCGTTTCCCTGCTCCTGTCCAAGTGATGGTCGAATGGGATCCCGTCAACTTTTTGAGGGAAAATTATAAAGAGCCATTTCCACTCTTAGATGCGATCTTGACATACACCGGCGACAATTCCGATGTGCAGATCACAACGCTTGGGGAGTACGTGACGGAGACTTGGCCAGCCAGGCCAGCGTTTCTTGCCGAATTACAATCCGCCATTTCTCGAGAGCTTTCTTCTACAGTCAATCAAGGGAAGACCAGAGAGGTTGACGATACGTGATAATCCGCTCTTTCGGATTTTCTTCGATCACTCACTGGTTATCGAACAGAGAATCCGATGCAAACTTGCAGCGTCCAACTGGCCAATTCCCACGTGGTGGTCAGAACACGTTGTGACGAGGCTAAGCATGCGCACGACCTTGCCCTTCAGCTAGCCTGGGTTTCTGGGTCGTGCCGAGCATCATCGAAGCCAAACGCCGAGTTCGCCCAACCGAGCTACAGTACCGCAGTGGCGAGTGAGGAGCTCCATATCCACATCAACTTTACTGTCCAGCAAGACTCATCCTCACGCTGGAGCCACTTACTTGGGCGTTGCGTCGTCGTCAGCGGCTTCCCCATACGTTCACGGCCACAGAAACAATCAGGTTTGGAGGTGCCATTGACCTTCATTACCCAGGTTCTTGGGCTCAAACGTATCACCACATTCAGCAATCGGGTGGTACTGCGCGACTGGGGCCGCATGCTGGTAGCAACATCCAGAGGGATGGACTACGTTTCGTGGGTATATCTTTCCACCGAAGACCAGGGGCGCATTTCCCTTTTGGCCCCAGATTCATTAAACCCCAAGCCAGGCCACATGAGCCACAAAGATATAGACATGGAGAAATGCCGACACTTTATTGAGTATCTTCAGCCGGACGGATCGTGAACGCCAACGTACACCCTACCAGAATCGAGGGACATTTTGATTCTATTGGAAGGGTTTGAAAGGGGATCCCCAACAGGGTTTATAGTCTTTTCCTAGATGTATTTGTGGAGACACAGAAGAGAACCTTCTGCATCGTTGAATTGGATGCTCAATTGTGAGATTGCAACTTAGTTATTTCATCAACAGTATTTTGATCATCTATAGCCTATGGTAAAGCCAAAACAAGCCAAAAGTCCCGCCAGAGACTTCAAGTCGGGTAATTCGTCAACGTCTTTAATACCATTGCCTACCGATCAAAGTAACCGCTATGTATCCGGCTGTACCAATTTATCACAACACCTGGCTAGACAAGTGAAGAACGGCGTGGAGACCTCCGCGATAACCAACACAGGATCAAAAGACTCGCGTAGTCTTTTAAAGAAGGAAGGAAATCTAGGACACAAGCTATAAAGCTAGACGCATGGCGTGACTATAATTCATCATTTCTAGAAGCTACCCCGTGATTCGGTACTTTGCCACTTGCCCATGGCAGAAGAAAAGGGCATGATAAGTTAACAGTCAGGACTCAGAACACGATTACGTAGTTGGGTGCACTCGGTCGTAAGCTTGGTGACCTCCTTTTTTACGCCTTGCTCGTTCATAGTAAGCGCAAGATTGTTCATTCTAGTCAGCGTGTCAGGATGCTTTTCTCCTAGCACCCTTTGACTCGTCGTTATCACTCGCTCCTCTCTTTTCCACCCTCCATCCGTCGTCCTCGATGTCAGCGCGCTCTCTTGGAACGTCCTTAGATTTCGGAGCGTTTCATTAATCCCAGGATATTCTTTCTCTGCCTCCTGGACTTGTCCGATAAATAATTTCCTACTCATACCCTTTGACAAGTCGATATTGATCTGCCTTTCGATCTCTTCGTCAGGTTTCCCTTCTCTTTCCCCGCCCAACGTAAGAAGTTCGCGAACTGCTCGTCGCTCATGCTTTCAAGCCTGCTGATGAGCTCGTCCTACTCGGTAGGCATAATGAAAATATCGTCCTAGCGGCGCCGCTAATCCGAGACCTTGTAGAGGGTGTATCTGAGACTATACGATTGTGGAGTAGTAGGGGAGTAATAAGCAAGTATTATAGCTTAGCCCCAAAAAACAGGTAGTTGACGTCCCATGGATGAAATGCTGTTGCAATGTTTTGTAATGTAGATTTATGCTGGTTGATCGCAGGCACAACACCATTCACTCTTGGCGCATGTTTCCGGTATGTATATCGCGTCTGAGCTGGGTGCTGAAATTGCAGTCCTCCGATCCTACCAGTCTCCTCACATGTCCCCCAATGCACCACTTCTCGCCGCGTCCATCCGTAGCGACGGAATATATCCAGTTGTCACAGCCTGGGACCAGACATCGGCCTCTGAGCCGAGGAAGGCTTACTTTCTGCCTCCTTCCCTTCCCGTGGGACATTTTGCACAAATGTTTGTCCTCACAACCCGACGGATAGCTCCATTTCCATCGCCGCCGCTAGCTCCTACTCCGTTTGACCGGACATTCGAAACTGTTTTCCGGCAAAGGATCGTGTTGTAACAACTCCATCTGGTTCACTTCAAGCTCCCCTCGAGGGTAAGGTTCAACGGCACGGTTCGATCGACATGAACCTTCCTGATTGTCCTCATTGTGTTCGCGAGGGAAATAAATGCTACTCTTGATCGAGTGAGGTGCTCCTGACGGCGCCCCCAAGGTGCACATAATAAGATCCACCACCAGCAGAGGGTTTTATTTTGCTGGAGCCTGCGCCCTGTGTGTCTAACATCCCCGGTGAAAAGAGGAAGGAGTGTTAGCCACCCTTGCCCAGATATAGCCTTTTGACCCTCGGTTCTTGAAGGTTCCCCCAATCGTTGCGAAGTTCGACGGCTGGCGACCGAAACGGGGCGGAGGACAGGTGGTGCAGAAAGTTCGATCTGAGCCTCGAAGCGATCCTGGTCCTGATATTAGTCTAAAAGCCCACGAAAGATCTTAGTGGAAATGCGGGGGACGACCTCTTCAAGCCGCCCTATTTCTCCTAGTCAGTGAGAGACTGTGTATGCTTCGCTGGTAAGGGGAGACATCGTGGTAGATCGAAGGTGGAAAGTTTTGGTCGATGGCGATGGAAGGAGGCGTTTATCAGGTACAGATCCAAAACAAAGAAGTCCGTAACGCCGTTGTGCTTCACGGAGCTATCTGGACCAGAAAATTAGTTCGCACTGACACCAATTCAATTGACGATAGACAAACGGAGACACCTACTGATGATGATGATGAT